ATCTACTCGTAGATGAAAACTTTATTTGGCGTATAGTTTTCACCGACGAATCAAGTTTTCCTTTATTAAGTCGTCATAACCCTACACAAATAAGATAATGGTCTCGGGAAATTTTGCACAGATATTTTGAGGTACGCACGCAATATCCTCAAAAGCTAAATGTTTGGGGTGGTTTTCTAGGGGACCATATAATTAGTCCATTTTTTATAGAGGGTAATTTAACTGTTGCAAAGTGTTTGGACTTCTTACAGCAGCAGATTGTCCCTAGAATTCGTGAGTTATTGGGAGAAAGATTCCACAATGTCTGGTTTCAGCAAGATGGTTGCCCTGCCCACAATGCCCGTATTGTTCAAGAATATTTGAACAATACTTTTTCCATCCGTTTAATTAGTAGATATGGAACTATTTTGTGGCCCGCTAGATCACCAGATCTTTCTCCCAATGATTTCATTTTGTGGGGTTATGTAAAATCCAAAGTGTATGGTCATAATAGGGCTAATAATCTGGATGAGCTTCAAGTAAAAATACGAGAGGCTTTCCAAACTATTAGCCCTAATATGTTAGCCAATGTCAGACGGGGATTTTACGACCACCTAGTCTTCTTTCGTCTTTTGAACACTTGTTATAACTTTTTTTTTATTTAGAGTAATATTTATATATTTTTTATTTGATTGATATATTTTTCAATTTTGGAAATGAGTTTTGGGTTTAGAGAATTTATTTATTTTTAGTTTTGGCTTGTAAACACACTCAAATAATAAATTTTTAAGTATTTTTATTTTAAATGTTACCTTAAGTGAAGGTAAACTTAAATTAAAATGAAAATAATAAATACTCGGCACTCTTCGCGTCGTATTCCTAGTCTGTCACGACCGACCCGTCCAAGCACAACTGCAACTGCCTACTGCCTGACCAGCCGACTAGTCGGCAGTGAATCTCGAGTACGAACGCAATCGGGTAAACGCAAATTCGTCCGGCAACTTGCTATGTTACTTGTAGCCTGGTCTTTTCTGTATAAGTTGTAGCGTTTTTTATAAAACATTACCACTGCGAACGGCAGTTTTTCATCGGAGAGCAGTCGTGGATAAGGTATTTCACTGGAAAGAAAACTAATCAATAACAATAAACAAAAAATATAGATATTGGGCGCCAGGCATGTACAGAGAACGAAAACACAGTTGTATATTACTTAAAACTAATGACTATATTTATTCACGATGTTCTTTGAGGGTAAATAACATTGTAGAATTCTAGCAACAATAGTGGTTGTGTGTCGAAGAAAGTTTTGTTAAAAATAGTAAAATATGTTCTATGAAAACGACTATGATAAAATACAATACATGTAAAGTGATGAAATAAAGTGAAAATATATGAAAGGTAGCATTACTTTAATTAATTTGATATATTTTATATGCTGTTAAATCGAAGATGTTGCAAGCCGTAGATTCTAGAATCGGTTCGGTTATTCATCTGTCAAAATGATACAATAATAATATATATATATATATATATATATATATATATATATATATATATATATATATATATATATATATATATATATATATATATATATATATATATATATATATATATATATATATATATATATATATATTAGAAAGTAATACTATTACAAAACATAATATTCACAAAGAAACTAAGATTAAATCATATTTTAAATACTAATCTGATATAAGAAATTTCACCACTAAACGTAAAGTCTGTACGATATTATTCAAGATGTATGTTATTGTTTAAGACTGAAAATATAGAAAATCTAAAACATAAAAACTAGAATTTAAATCTACATTTAGCTGTTCGCTCTTGAGGCAATCCTGCTTCGAACAGTAACAGCGTGAGGTGGGACTCGTAGGTGGTATCTCTGTACTGTCTCTCGGCCAATGCAACAAAAGGGGCCAGGATGAGGACACCATGAACTAATACAGCCGTAACTATCGATTAGGCTTAAAAACAGGAACGAATCAGCATAGGGCCTACGCCACATCCACACTGGGGCACTCTGTAGATGGGATAAACTATCCGTACAGTGGACTCTCGTCCATCGGACACCTGTCCATAGGAAAACTATACATGGGAACACTACCCGTACCTTGGAACACTACTAGGACCTTGGATAATGCCCGTACTTTTTTTTTTTTTTTTTTTTCTGAGGATGGTAAAAAAATCTTCTTAGACGCCTGGTCTGTTGTTCTGGCGACCGAGGTGTGCCGGATCCCTACCGACTAAAAAAATTCCACCCTATTTGGTAGACAAACTGCGCTGGAACTGCTCACGCATTACTTCGGCGCAGATGCCCCTCTCTACGTTAGACTTTGGTCATTCTTCAACCCTCCGTTGATCCAGCTCCTTCTGTCGTAGAATTTTTGATATAAACGCCACGAAAGCCTCCCATATATCTTCGTCCTCCACAATAGATGGTACTAAGTTTTCTTTTTTAAAGGGTACCTTAAAAATCCCCTTGATCTTTAATCTACCTGGTTCCCAGGCCGAGCATTCAAAAATGGTGTGACTGACATCGTCGATGGCACTGCTGCAATATTTACAGGCCGCACTAGCTCTTTTCTTGAAACGATATAAATAATGTTCGAAAGCTCCGTGACCGCTAAGTATCTGGGAAAGATAATAGTCTACCTGTCCGTGTTTTCGTTCAGTCCATCTTCTTATATTCGGGATTAACATATGTGTCCATTTTCCACCGTACGCCTCATCCCATCTTCTTTGCCACAGTTGATATAATATCTCCTTCGCTTCATTTTTGATATCAGCCTTATCTGTTCTTCCTGTAGTTTTTTGATCATATATATAAGCCCTTTCCTTTACTACCAGGTCTATTGGTGGTATACCTGCGATTACGAATACCGCTTGCTCCGCTACAGTCCTGTAGGCAGAAACAACTCTCAAGGCGCTCCGTCGCTGAACTGATAGAAGTTTCTGTTTTTCTTTTTAACCTCCAGTGCCTTTGCCCATATTGGAGCGGCGTACAAAATACTGGCTGGACCACTTCATTTAAAAGTATCCTTTTCTCCTGCCTTGGACCTCCGATGTTTGGCATTACTCTTGCTAATTTAGCCACTGTTGTCTGAGCCTTTACCACTACTGCATGTATGTGTTCTTTGAAATTCAGCTTTTTATCAATTTGTACTCCCAGATATCTGAGGCTTTGACTAGGACTGAGGACCATTGATTTCCGTCCCATCCAACACAATCTTTGGATACGTAAAAGATCGCTTATCCGTTATCAGTACAGCCTCTGTTTTATGGACAGCCAGTTGCAAATTTTTCATCTTCAGCCAACGGTGTATTCTATCTAAACTGTCGTTAACTTCAATCTCCAGTTGTTCTGTTTTACTTGCCGTTGCCACAACAGCAATATCATCTGCAAATCCCACTATATCTGTGTTTTCAGCCATTTCCAGTTCCATAAGCTCGTCATAAAATATGTTCCATAGGAGGGGTCCTAGGACCGATCCTTGGGGAACTCCCATTGTTATGTCATACGTTTTTGTTCCTTCAGACGTTAGATAGAATATTTTTCTCTCTGTAAGATAGCTATTCACCATATTTTTCAAATATTCTGGGAAATCTTTTCTATTCAAGGCTTGTATAATTTCTCCCCATCTTGCAGTATTGAAAGCATTTTTGACATCTAAAGTTACTAATGCACAATATCCTTTATTTTTCCAATTCCCTTCCTTTACACTCCTTGCAATGGTGACTACTCGATTGATTGCGTCGATGGTCGATATGCCTTTACGATATCCATACTGCCGATGTGATAATCCTCCTATGCTGTCTACATGGACCTCCATTCTTTGTAGTATTAATCTTTTCAGGAGTTTGGCACTGGTGTCTATTAGGCAGATTGGTCTATAAGATGACGTATTCTCTATTGGCTTGTTGGGCTTGTGTAGAAGGACCAAATTTTGCTGCTTCCATTTGTTTGGGAAACATCCAGAAAGAAGACATTCATTCACTGTGTGTAGTAGTAACTCTGGCCATACATCAATGGCTATTTTAAGAACTTCGTTTGGTATGCCGTCAGGACCCGGTGATTTATTTGCCGAAAGTTTTGTACTTGCTTGTTCTAGTTCGACTACAGTAAAATATTTTAGTTCCATTGTGTTGTTCCTGCACACTTTTTTCTTTCCTCCGTCATGTTTTTTATGCTGCTCCTTTGGGAAGAGTGTCTCTACTATTGGCAAACCCAATCTGGGTCCAACAGTCCTGGTATTTTTTCGTGTCCTATCCTCTTAAACACTATTTTGTAAGGGAGTCCCCACGGGTCATTTTCAATCTCTTGGCATAAATCTCTCCAGAACTGCTTTTTTCGCGATCTTATAGCTGTTCTTAAAAGCTTTCTCCGACTTTTGTATTCCTCTGCTAGTGTGGTGTTTCCCTGGCTTCTTGTCCAATTCCTTCTAGATCGTAAACAATCTTTTCGTAAATTATCGATGTTTGATGTCCACCAATATACTGAGGTTTTACTGCCTTTCCAAGACTTTCTCCTAGGCATAGAGTGGTCGCATGCTTTTGTCAACGTTTCCACTGTATAATCTAAATTGATAGCCGCTGCTTTATTCCGTTCTTCTTCCAGATAGGACCGTAGTTTCTCTTGGTCTAACTTTTTAACAACCCAGCCTTTTCCCGGTGCTTTTGTCTTCTGGATATTTGTTGACCTGAAATTCGATATATCGATGGTCGCTAAGGGTAACCTCATCCAATACTCTCCAATCTATTTGTCCGGTTGCACCTTCATTTTGTCTAGTTCAAGCCATACAAATCCGTTTTCTTTCTCGCATACTTTTTTAACGATGATATCTCTGTTTCTGACCAGTATTGCAGCTTTACTTGATCTGTCTTGATACCACATTCCTGTTTCGGGTTTGCGGTATGGTTCGCTTATTAGAATAATATCTACACTTTTTCCTGCTGCAGTTTGCATTAGAAGATCTTGCGCATCTCTACCCCTTCCCAAGTTAATTTGCAAAAATTTTATCATCTTCCTTTCTTTTTTTCAGCTCCTCTATATAAGCAGGGCATTTTAAGCTTCCTAATTTATGTCCGGTGTCCTTCTCCTTAGCTTCATGACAGATTATGCAAAAAGATTCATTTTGACAGTTTCTGCTCATGTGTCCTTCTCTACTGATACCTTTACAGTTTACGGCTTCATGACCATAGCCGAGGCATTTATAGCATTGTTGTACTGTTGTTTTCTCTCTAATACAGCATTTAACCCATCCTACTTCTATTTTTCCCTTTTTCAAAAGTTGATCCGTAGCATTTGCTGGAACACCTATTACAGCAATTTGCATCCCTCTTATTCCCTCTCTAAGACTGTAAATTCTAACATTTAGAGAGCTATTACCCGTAGTGCTTTTCACCGCCTCGATAAGATCATCCTTAGTAATGGAACCGTCTAAGTCTCTTATTTCAAGAGGATATAGTTTCTGAAGAGATTTCAGTGATCCTTTGCCTTCCATTGCTCTCTCCACTGCTTTTTTAAAATTTTCAGTGTCAGTCCCCTTTTTGAATTCAACTAATATATCGCCTGACCTAGTGCGCTGCACAACAGAAATTTCCGCTCCTGCACTTTTTGGATCTACGTCTGCTTTCAACTTACGCAGAGTATCTGCATACGTTATTCCCTCGTTTATTTTAATTGTTATGGCCTCAGGTAGATATTTTTTTCTCACTTTTTTTTCACCCTGAATTTCCGATTTTTTTCTGGTTTTCTTCCCTTGTCCTACTACTCTCTATTCAGTCTCACTAGGTATCCCCGGAAATGAGAATGGAGATTGCTGTCCCGTTGCTTGTGGTGTTAACCCATCTATACCTAATTTTAGTCTCCCGGGCCTTTTATTTGCACTTTTTCTTATGTCTTCCGGTGATTCTGATGCAACCCGTTTTTTCGATTCCGGTTGTGTTTGGTGTTCACATTCTTCATTATCTTCCCTTTCTTTTGACTTTCTCAGCTCCTTTAGCTTTTTTATTTCCTCTCTGTTGTTTTTCATTCTTTTATAGTAGAGAACCGTCAGTCTCAAAGAATCTCTTAAGGTTTTGTGAATGTTCCGTGCACCGCTTACTATGGTATCCATAGACATTATGTTTTCTCCCATTTTAGCCAGGAAAATCTCCTCTGACCTTTCTAGTTCTTCCAGATGCTTTAACTGGCTTTCTTCTATTTCCGCCTTCGACTTACTTTCGTAATCGCCTCTAGATGTTGGTGGCGATCTTAAAATTGAGTCTCTCCTTTTAAAAGGGTTCTCGCTGATAAATGGATAAGTGTCCCCCCCAGAATCCGAGGGACAGCCCTCCGCGCAGGAGGGCTGGGATTCTCCGGTATGTCCGGTACCCACCTGGGGAACATTCCTTTGGTTTTGTTCTTCCAACTCAACTTTTCTTGGTATCTCTCTTAGTCTAGCATCTCCTGTGATCCCTGCGGCCAACTGATGGCATGACCCCAGGAATCACAGAAGCGCCGAAGCCCCCTCACCACGTCAAGGTGGAGATACCATAGAGGGAGTAATGCCCGTACCTTGGATATTGTCCATAAGATAATGTCCGTAACTTGGACCATAACCTTGGAATCAATACATATATATGGAACACCTGCCCATACATTGGACCCTAAAAATCGAAACTCTTGTTTAAAACCTACCAAGGTGTAATAAACACAATAAACCTTTCTCGAATTACTTCCGAGGGGTCAATAATAAACAAAGAAACTGTCCTTTCTTCCATTTAACATTCTGAAGGACAAAAGAAAACTAACGTGTCAGCAAACACCAAATACGAGTTGAGGTGGGCCAATCCAAAACTCTACCATAAAAATATTGAATAATAATAACTAGTCTAAAAAAGATAATAACTCATCTTTACCTGTAGCTTCGAAATGGCAGCCGATCCAGATTTCGTAGCAAGATTTAAATTACCATTTCTAAAAGTAGGATTTACAACCGTGCCGCAAACCGGCCAAACCAAAAAGTGAGGTTAAAGCGCAGAGAGGCGCCTTGAAACGATCTTGACAGCCCTCCACAGAAGCAGTGAAACGATAACAGGGTTGTTGTAGTCAACAACCCTGTTATCGTTTCACTTCTTCACGCTTCACGCGCCTGGCGTAATTTTTACGTTCTCTAGTGAGAACGTAAAAATTACGCCAGGCGCGTCAAGTAAATTATCAAGCCTGAGCGATACGGAATCCGGTGATGATACGCCAGACATCATATATCATATACAAAAGACATACGAACTAAAACTAACTAAACTAAAAACGTTACAAAATAATTTATATATATATATATATATATATATATATATATATATATATATATATATATATATATATATATATATATATATATATATATATATATATATATATATATATATATATATAATTTATTGAATTTTATGGTAGTGAATGATAACAGGGTTGTTGTAGTCAACAACCCTGTTATCGTTTCACTTCTTCACAGCCACGCGCTGGCGTAATTTTTACGTTCTCTAGTGAGAACGTAAAAATTACGCCAGGCGCGTCAAGTAAATTATCAAGCCTGAGCGATACGGAATCCGGTGATGATACGCCAGACATCATATATCATATACAAAAGACATACGAACTAAAACTAACTAAACTAAAAACGTGTTACAAAATAATTCATATATATATATATATATATATATATATATATATATATATATATATATATATATATATATATATATATATATATATATATATATATATATATATATATATATATATATATATATATATATATATATATATATATATATATATATATATATATATATATATATATATATATATATTTTCCTTTCTTGGGTATGAGGTTTTTTTTTATTAATTGAAAATGGAAACTTTCTTTTTTTTGTTATACGACGTTTCGCCTCATCATGGTGAGCTTTCTCAGGCACTTTATTCTTGAAGCCGCTGCCGCCTTGCTACCACCAGTCTAAGACACTACAGTTACAAAGTAACTATAGTTATAAAAAACTAGAAAATAAATTTATTACAAATCAACAAATATATTTAATATAATTGATGAAAAATGGACAATGCATTGCAGAGTATCCATTCTGGAGCAAAATAACCATTCTGTTTTAATATTCGTTAGTTAGAATTAAGATATTCTTCGTCACTGCACCTGCACATATTAGTTGCTCGATAATTTTGCTTAATAACAATGCAATAACTATAACTTTTTTTAAAAAATGTCTATAATTATACTTTATTTGTTTCTTTAGTATAGTTCAACTGAAAATTTAAACATTGTCCCGTATGTGTAGATTTTCTATATACAGCAGTGCTAATGAATTTATCGGTTCTACTGACGAAAACATCCAGAAATTTTTCGCTTTCTCAGTCATAACGCAACTAGCAAATATAGTTCCCAGTCCTTTTTAAAATGTCACTGTCCCTAAAGTATAGTTCCTTAGCCTACTCTGCCGCTTAAAATGTTACTCTATAAGGAATAGTCACTTTGAAGTATATTTCGAGAGTGATCGGTTAGTGCCTATCTACCATAAAAGTGGAAAATAAACACCTCGATTGCAAGTCGCAAACATATAATTTAAAGAAGTGGCTGGAACTACCCAAATCTTCGAATATGACACAATAAAAGACCAAAAACGTTATAGTAACTTTTCAAAGTAGGGATTACTAATAAGTGCTACCATAATGCCTCCATTAAGTTTTGTTACTTTATAGTAACAATTTAAGGTACGGGGTAGTCGCGGCCTCGACCTAGTTACTTCTAATTTATAGTAGTATTGAAAGTAGCAAAATGGTTACTGCTACCTTCCTTGGTCACTATAAAATAGCCGTCACTCATCCATTGCCACTAAAAAGTCACGGGGATCAAAAACGGCTACTTTATAGTAACCATAACTTAATATACCCTAATAAATATAATTGCCTCAGATTGCATCGTGTGCTACTCTGTTTTAGTATTTTCTTTTACTTGCTTTTAAGCTTTATTAAAATTTTGTAAAATGCCTAAGGTGAATAAAAAGAAATTTAGATATTCTAGTACTTTCTACCTAAGAATTAAACAAAAGGAATCACTGCGAGCCGAAGCATCAAAATCAGAAAAAAAAACTACATCTTTCTATAATCCTACTGATGAACATCATAAATCAGGTAGTGACTGTGACATTTTTGAATCTGTTTCTGTAGATGAGTGTAGTGTTAGTTCAACTGAAACTGAATCTCAGAGGAAAACTAATTTGAGAACCAACAACAATATAAAACAAGAGCTAAAAGAGTGGGTGTTAAAATACGAGTTAAGAGGTCGCTGCGAATATAGTTTAACAAGAACTTTAATATTAGAGTATCTAAAACAGAATTTATTGAATTTTACAACTACTGCCTATTTATATCACAAATATTTCCGCCAGTATCTGATTTTGCATTTCTTCATGTATGTTTTTTAAAAATACGTTAGATGTTTAGAGATAGTAAGTAATATTATTTTATATAAGATAAAAAAACGAATAAAATATATAAGATAAAAAAAACGAAAAAAAAAATTAATATATTCGAGAAAAAATGTATGCGCTACAAGTATAGTAATAATTTTGATCGAGAAGTGATGCTAAAGCTTCATTCAGAACCTCGCAGTTAGTAGAATAAACTAGTGGTTTCAATTAGCGTAGTAGTTTGTTCCTCTAATTTGAATGTAAGCATTCATAACGTCAAAATTAGTGGTAGGAATTTTCAATTAGTGGAAAAAGTCAAACGTCTCGTTTTTAACTTTTCCACTAATTATATTCAAATTCAAATTCAAATAGTTTATTTACCCTTCTCTCCAAATACCAATATACAAACCAAACAAAGTAAAAATTAGGTAAAAGGGACTGTGTCGCGATTATAAAAAAAAAACGATACACAAAAACATTAAATGTTTTTGTGTCGCACATTATACTTCAAAGTCTGCGAAAAATGTAATTTTGGCTTTTGATTATCATTCGTCAAGAGAAATTGTGGTTAGAAACCAAAATTATATTGTTTTATAAGCTAAATATTAGGCTTTCTCAATGGATACAACTGATTACTGCAAGCTGTTGCTAGGATATTCTATTAATTTTAATTGAGTCTTTGAGATATTGTGAATGATCGTAAACTAAAAACTATAAAGTATAATTGAAACCACTAATTTATACGACTAATTGCGAGGTTCTGAATGAAGCTTAACTAAGTAAAGTATATTGAAAGACCAAAATAGACTTCAATCATTTTGACAATTTAATAGGTACTTTCTATTTTTTTTTCTTTTATTTTCTAAATTTCTTGACGGAATCAAATAATAGGTTATTAAAACGTAGTAAGAAGGAAACCTAGGTACTGTCACAGCACGAAACCAATTCCTTTTCCGAATTTAAAACATTTCATTTCGAGCGGCTGAAAAAGGGACGAATAAAAACACACTTTGTGCAAGTGAATTCAATCAGTTTGTAT